CAAATGAAATTCATTGACACAAAAAGTGGAATCTGCTTTTGACATTAAAACCAAAACCAGGACTTCACAATCAAACTGTCTTCAAAGTGCCTTTTTTTTTTGGTACAAGAAGAAGGCAAAGCCTAACGGCTTGAGTTGCACACGCTCCGTGAGTAAGAAACACCAGTGAGGTCGTGCTCTAACCACGGTCTTCAAAGTGCCTTTCACACACTCTGAGTGATTGTCACAGTAAATACTGAAGCATTGTCACAACACAGTGGACTCAAACAGTGAAATAAAGCAGCATTAGGCAATTTGAAACTGATCAAGAATAAAATTATTCAATGACCTGACCTTTTTGTGTCCCCCACAATCTGAGTGAAAAAAGGAACTTTCCAATTCTATATCTTGAGTATTTTCACTTCAACTTGCCTTTTTTATGGAGAACATAAACAGAAAGTTGAGGGTTGCAACTTTTTTCTTTGCCTGGTTGAAATCTGCAAAATCCTTTCTTCTGCATTACAGCTTTGATATGCTGTCTTGTCATGCTTTTATGTCATTTTATTCAATTTTTTTTTATGCTTCTATTTATGTTTACGGAACAATTCTGTCGGGATTTGTAACTGTTAGATCATCATGTAACCATCGGGGATAGTTGATCTAACGGTTACAAACCCTGACTGAATGATTCCGTAACGGTATCTTAGCATTTTCTTTGATTTTATTTTTTTTCTCTCCTCTTTTTGTGATTGCACATTAAACAAAGTTTCAAACTTTCATTTTCTTGATTGATGAAAACCATGGTTGGCTGCCTTTATTTTTCTTCAAATTTTTCCTCTTTGGGTTCTTTGAAATGAAAGGCAAAAAATTCGGTGACTACTTTGCAGCCACCGAATTTTTTAATTAGATCAACATACATCCATGTGAGTATGTGTTTGTGTTATAAATATTTAATAAAAGTCCTTTAAATTTAAATTTCATAGTAGAAAGGTATTTCTCAAAACCCACAAATTAGAAAGGAAAAAAAATAAAAAAAAAAATAAAAAAACTGAAGGTTTTCTACACCATTGTTGATGGCACTTGCAACACCATTGGAGATTTATTTATAATTTAGCAAAGCTTCATCATGAGTAGTTTATGTAACCATCATAAATTAAGTTCTTAAAAACAAAAGGAATCCACAAGAGGAGTGGAGAAATTGACCCAAAAAAAAATAAAAAAATAAAAATAACCATGGAGAATTACTATCAACCAACAAGTAACTAATAAAACTGCCCTTTTCCCCTACACTTTCCATCATCTTTTTTCTTTTCTTTTTTCATTATTATTTTCTTCACCATTTTTTCTTGAATTACAAAAACCCTACCTATGACTGCACAAATCCAACAGCTTCTTCCTCCCCTCCACAATCTCGTCAAAGAAATCGTCGAGCTGCCCGATTATATTCTCCGTCCCGGCCCTCAAAATTGTGAAATAGCCCCTCAACTTCTCGACTCTATCCCTTATCCCCACCTCTGATTCCCACTCCACCACCCCTTGTGAACACCTCATCTCGAGCTCCCCCCTCAGCTCGTCCATTGCAGCCCGCGACCTCCGAAACTCGTGCAGGAGAACCCCACATTGGGCCGAGGCCCGGCCCATTTCGGCATCAACTCTCTGCTGAAGTCGGGCCATGGAAATCATGAAGGCCGACCCAAAAAAGAGGCACCCTTGTTCGTACCCGTTTATGTTTCTCAAAGGGTTAGACGGGTCGGGCCACGAGTAGACAAGCCCACAAAGCAAGACCATTAGAAGAAATGAGCTGACGTGTCGCATGGCGTAGAGGACCCCTCGAAAGCCATTGAACCCGTTGAGCCTCGACTGTATTGACATGTTCTCATCGAATTTTAGAAGCGTGAGGGGTTCGATTCGGGTCTCCATCAAGGACCTGTTTTCTTCTTCAAGCCCAACTGCTTCCCTTCTGCATCCTGATATTGCTCTGATTACCTGTTTTCAGTTATTATTTAATGTACACAATTAGGAATATTGTGAAGGGAGATGAAGTTATAGATGAAAATTGGTTTAATTTATGATTGACAAAAAATTGACATTAAACCCCCAACTAAGATATTGTAAAGAAACTTGGATTAATTCAGAAAGCTTCTTCAAAATTCAGCCCATCTTATCAAAAACAAAATTTAAAAAGGGCGAGCAATTATATTTTTGAACAAAAATGTATATCCTTCAAGTGCTTAAAAAGATATGTAGAGCTTTNCTAGGTGTAAATGGGTGGAGTCGAGCTCGAGTTTTTTGAGTTTTTAACGTCCAAGAGAATCAGTAATCGAGCTATAGAAAATTATGTAGAAATTTTACTTTTCGAAGTTAACTATAGAAAGTTAATAAAATTTCTCTTCTCGAGCCTTAACAAGTAAAACCGAGACCAGTGGCTCCTTTCGTTCAAAGTTCTACCCACAGGCCACAACACCATTAGGATTTAAAAAAAAAAAAAA